CTAATGAATGATTTGATTTTTAGGAAGTAAATAATTTATATTCCATTTTTGTGTGTGAACTATAAGAAATGAATATTATATTTCTTTTATGAAAGTAAAATAAAAATAAATTAAAAATTAAATTAAATTATTACTTTCCTTTCGGGGAGATGTTATCTTCTCCTATATAAAGGGGACTATTTCTTTTCTTTTTAACTAGCTTTGATTTATATTTTAAAATCTTGATGTTGAGATTGTTATAATTTTTTATGCATAATGATATTTTAATTTTAAAATTCATGATTAGTAAATAATGATAACTATTTTGTGATGTTAAAATGATTATTTGATTTATATTGATCTCTTAAGCTTAAGTGAATTTTAATATTAATTTTTTTTTTTAGATTAGCATAATAGTTCTAATTTATTTAATTATATATATATATATATATATATTTCAAGAATTATGTGTGAATTTCTATAATATAATTAGTTTTGAAATTAAGATCATGAATTTAAAATTTTAATTAATAGATTTGAGTCATTCTTTAATAATTTTAAATATTAAAATCTAATTTGATAAGAGGAGTCTAATTGGGGTCTGACTTGAGCCAAGTTGATCGATCAACTCGAATTGACTTAGCCCATGTGATCATGTACGACCCAGCCCATATAGTCAAGTACAACCTAGCTCATATGACTAGGCATGACCAGGTAGGAGCCAGCCCATGTGGCCAAGTACGATCCAACCCATGTGGTCAGGCATGATCCAACTTATGTGGTTAGGAATGACCCAACCCATGTGGCTAAGTATGATCCAATCCATGTGGTCATATATGACCCATCCCACGTGGTAAGGTACGATCCAACCATATGGCAAAGCATAAACCAGCTCATGTGGCTAGGTACGATCCAGTCCATGTGATCAGATATGATCTCAATTCATATATCTATATGTGACCAACTCGTGAGCCAAACATGACCCAGTTCAATGGTAAGGCTCAGCCAAACTTATAAGTGAGACTTAGCCTAATTCATGAAGTTAAGTCTGCCTAACTATGCAATTGATATTAAATACATCGTCGCTCCTTTATCTAGTCCGTTATACCTTAACTCAACCTATTACTTGGAAGAGGTATATGCAGTTTATATGACCTGTCCAAGACTCAGGTGGGTTGGTTCGATTTGGGTTAGTACTATACAACATAGTCCAATTTCCTCTCTCTCTATTGGTTTAAACTTGTTAATTGACTAAATTAAAAAAAATTAATAGGTTAAAGCCAGTTTAGGGTGATTCCAAACTAACTTGACTAGTTCATACCTAAATGACCTAATCAAGATCAATCAAATCTAAATTAAGTCTATGGTGATTCCATACCAATTTTATAAGGATTTGAGGTTGGTTCCGTTAGATCATAATCGAATTGAGTTTGATTTAAGTCATTTGAGATATTACAATTAGGGTTTTGGTTGATTGAAGATTATTGAGAGATTGATATTTTATGCATTTATGATTTGATGAATTTAAAATTGAAGATGTCATTTGAAAATGATTATTGGTTTTCTACTTTCTTAAGTTTATGATATTGATATGTTTATTATTATACAGTAGATGTGACTAGCCTAGTAGTTCACATTGGAAGTGCAATATATGAAATGGGCTACGGGCCCATCATAGTGCAGAGCTACCAATGAACATAGTCTAGCATATTTACATCTAGTATAATCTTTCATAATATTTAATCATATTGATTTCTTGATGTATGCGTGAGTGAATGGATGAATATAAATGAATGATCATGGATGTTTATGTATCCCTATCGAGGGCAAGTATGGTGATTCCCTTCGAATATTAGCGGGCCGTCAGATGTGATGATTAGATGGTTCCTCCATCCACTATTGGGAGGAACGTGTCTCCACTTGGGCGGGTGAGGGATACTACTCCATTCGTTGTTAGGAGTGCAATATAGATTATCTCCATCCGGGAGTGCAATATGGATTATCTTCATCTGCTATTGGGAGAAATCTATCTCGTGAAACATACCTCTCCATCCGCTATTGGGAGAGTGTATCATCGGATGTGATGTATGTCTTTGTTATCTAATTATTATGTATATGTTGCATGTGGTTGATTCATGATTTTATTTATTATGTAAGAAATTATTATCAATTTTCTGATGTATAAGTTTTATGATGAATCGATATATTATCATTTTTTTATTAAATTATTGATATTTATTTATATTACACAAATATTGAAGATTATTTTTATGATTTTTTAGAGGTTCCTATCGGCATGTGTGGTTGTTGATATGTTTTTATCTTATATTTATTTTCAGAGTAATATACTATTTTATAATATATGTGAGGCTTGGGTGGAAGAGACTTGTAACTCTATCAAGAAGAAAAAATAATAATCTACTACTTTGTAATCTACTATTTTTTATGATTTTTTAGTTAATAGAATATTTACTATTTTAAAGATAAGGATTTGAATGGAAGGAGATAGAAAAAAAAAAGTTTATTATATAAATTATGAATAATAAAATATTAATTTTATTATTTTTTATAAATCTGGGATGTGAGGATTGGTGAATGATGTTGTGGCATAAAGATAAGATGATGGGACACTTTTTTTTGATATGGCATAAAGATAGGATTGGTGAATGAGATAATGGTCCCTAACAAATAGATTGGTGAGTGAGTGACATAGCATGAGTGAATCATGGTTTGGATGTGACATGAATGACAGGATAAATGGGAAAATATTTGACGTGGCATATAAATGATAAGGGCATGAGGATGTGTCTGATTCTAAGTAAAATTATCCAAAAGCAAGACACAGTCATTGCTCATTTTTTGGTTCTAATGATTTGTTATGGTTTAAAAGCTAAGATAATGGCATTAGGTAGTTTTTTTTTTATTTTATAGGAATTTATATGCTAAACTTACATTTGGAGGAATGAATACAAAAAATATTAATAAATTTCATGTTTTCAAAATTGCTGATGAGCATAAAAAACTTTCAGGCTCCAAAAAGAAAAAAAAAATACAAATAAGAAAGAGACAATGGAAGAACAAATCTCATCCAAATTATAATTGGCATGGAGTGAAATGGATAAGGATAAGAGTTGTAGTGTGCCTATTAGGATAGGAGGATTCCTTATGCATTATTTGGAATGCTGAAATTATCTAAAAAAAATTAACATCAACCACAAATATGTTGGAAATAAATCCTATCATGAAAAATATTTGGATGTTGAATTGCAGGAAAGATCATAGTGACATGTTTGACCAAAATGGAATTTCTATAGATTAGTTCAACAGTCACTTTCAGCTCTTGTGGAGGGTTCAAATGAGGACTGAGGTGAGTTGAAGGCTCTGTATTTTGTGAGTAGTTTAACATGTTAAAGACTCAGGTTGAAAATGTTGAAGTAATTCAATTGCATGAGATGAAGCAGAACACATCCACTAAAAATATTTAAAAGGACAAGATAAATGACCTTCACTTTTTTGTTTTTTTGCCAATAAAAACAAAACCAACTTTACAAGCTTAAATACATATATAATATTAATTAATTTTAATAATAATCTTATCTCTTAAAAATGAATTAATTAAAAAAATGAAGATATCACGAGTTTTGGTCTTCACCTAATGCAATTGATGAGGCTAATGGATAAGGATAAGATTGGTATGAGGATGGAAACACCACTCGTCCCTATCTTATCCCATTGATATCCCTTGATAAATTTTTTTTTTTCTAAATACTTGATAATCTTATTTTAAAAATTAGGATTAGGGTTTGCTTATTTAACTCATCTCGTCTCTATGTTTCATCATCTATTAATTAGGATTTGGGTATTAACATGATGATGATATACGAGCAAGTAAATGATTCCAAATCTTATTTTAAAAATAGTAAAATATATTAGTTAACCTAATTAGTATAGAATTTTACTATATGATAGCTAGATTCTAGGATTAATTTTTATCTCCATCATCGAACTATAATAATAATAATAATAAGGTAAATATATCAATTTATGCATGCCGATATGAGCACTGATGGAGATTCACCTCTAATAGGATAAGGTGTTTTATGCACTTTCCACCTTATATATATATATATATATATATATATTCATCTTCATATTATTTATATTATTATATTTTTTTATTTATGTAGATTTGGAGGATTCATCTTACGCGTATATGTGATCATGAAAAATTGAAATAGGACTAATGAAGAAAATTATTAATTTATAAATTTATTTTAATATATTTAATTTAATTTGATTGTGGTTATATTTGGATATATTTGATTATGTTTTTAGATATATTTATATTTAAATATTATTATGATATATAAATTTTATAAATATTACTATTATTTATAATTTAATATTAATATATATTATTATTTATTTTTTAAAAAATAAATTTAATTAGGAGAATCGGAAGACATCATGAATTCTTGTCTCTTCACAGACGACCAGTCTCACATGTGGTTGGTGGGGATCCCTTCCACGACACGAATCATAAAGGTGATTTAGATCATGCATCGATAAGGAGGTTTAGTTTGATTAGGTCGTCACGAAACAACTTATCAAATAAGGCAGCTCTCGTTGGACTTTTCTGCCCCTCAGTCGACGCAAAAGACTTTTCTCGGTCAACACGTTTGACCGTGGAATATTGATTTGTCCAAAATAATTATCTTAAATGTTTCCATCGAAAGATATTTCTATTGAAATTTTGCACTCGTATCAGGTAATTTCCATCGAAAAGGATCGATGAGAGAGCAACAATTTACACACGATTACCATATTCCAATTGCCGAATCCATTTCCCAAGATGCGGCATGGCGGTGGGGTCGACCCCTTGTCCCTGAGGCGTGCGAATCAAGCCGTAGATCTCGGAATGATGGGAGCGAATCCGACATCTCGCGGTCGGAGCCTCGGTAGCTTGCGCACACGCCAATGCCTCCCGTGGCGCCGTCGCGACCGACGAGGATGACGCAGAAAGCATTAAAGACGAGCTATCCACGTTGTTTCTCCCCGTTCTTATCCGCAAGTCTCGAAAAGTTTCGGGAGAGAACACAGTACTGCGTTGCAGTATCCAAGAAGCCGAACAGGAAGGATGGCGGTGGGAATGGCGATGCGGGGGAACGAGGTGTTGCGGGCGCACCTGGGGATGGCGCTGGTTCAGGTGACCTACGGCGGATACCACGTGCTGACCAAGTCCATGCTCAACGTCGGCATGAACGAGGTCGTCTTCTGCGTCTACCGCGACCTCGTCGCCATCTCCATCCTCGCTCCCTTCGCCTTCCTCCAACACCGCAGGTTTCTGGTCTTTCCTCTTTTTCTTCTTCTTCTTCTTCTTCTTCTTGTATCGATCATTTGTTTACCTGACGACGATCTGTTTCTCTGTAAATAGTTTGGTTCAATTACTTGTCGATCAACAGAGGTTAGGGTACGTGTTCCTCTATTTGATGTTTGATGATGAGGTAAAACGAGATTAATTGGGCTGTTTGATGTGCAGAGGATTAATGGAATTTTGGGATTGGATTAGGAGGTTGGACAAACAAGAACGGTATCGAGGAACAAAGAATTCAGATGCCAGCAAAATAAACGATTGAGAAATTAGGGGATTTGGAGTGTAGCCCGTTCAAGAAATCGATCGTTTTCGAACATTTGGCTGTTGCTTGAAGATCGGGAGAACCAGTAGATTGTTAACGCAAGGCATTGACTTATGGGCGGAAAAAGACGGAAGACGCCATAAAGGAGATTTCGAGTATGGTTGGGCAAATTGTTTATGCCATGAAAAGATTCCTAATACAAGCCACCAGCTTCCGTGTTTTGCGTGTGAGTTCGTTGTGATTCATGATCCCACTGGAAGCATTCTAGATTGATTATTAGATTCCAATTTCCTTGCTTGAAGGCATGAAACAACAGAAGCTGCTAGCTGATTGCTAAACTTCGACACTCGATCCAAACAAGGATGATGTGTTTACGATGAAAGCTTACAGAAATTTCCTATGGTTGGAAGAGGATTTAAGGTTGCTTCATCGAAGTTCTTCAACATTTTAGTAGTATTACATTTGACCTAAATGATAGTGTAATAATTGGTTTGCCACTTCAGGACATACTAATCTGCTGAGCAAGAATCATGGAGAAGGTTGGAAGATAATTTTGTGCCTTCCATTGTGGAGTAATTTGGTAACTGGGAAAAAGAAAATGGGGAAAATAAAAGGTAAAGGAATTTGGTAAGTATGATGAAAGAAGAAAATTCACTCGTCAATGTGCTCTAATCATTTGGTATTCTATCCTGGGGAAGGTGCATGAGTCAGTCAAGGTTACATCAGTAGAGGGTTTTGTTTAGTATAAGGACAGAGAAAGATGCGGTCTAAAGTCTAAACCAAGGCTGCTTGTTAAATTGGGACAAAATTTCTTTTTAAGTTTAGACAAGAAAGAAAGAAGCATAGCCTCTTTAATTTGGTAACTTGAGCTGAACTAGCCATCTCCACTGCGTTTCAACCCTATGCATTGTAGCCGCTGATGTGTGTTGGGGCTGGATCTTAATTTATCATCATATGCTGCAAGGCAGGGTGTAAATTGTTCCACTTTGTTCATACTTTCGTCGAAGATGTTCTTTGGTTGTTTGTTGAGGTTATTTTTGATAAGCAAAGAGCTGGTATTTAAAACATTATGTTGAAGGCAATATGACTATATAAGGACTTCGTCAAGTTTCTGATTGACTTCATCAAGTCTTTATTCATTTTATTGAATATTGCTGCTTCTTTAGATGGATTTCTTTATGGTTTTTATTTTGTTTCATAGAATGATAAGGATGGTTGGTTAATAAATGTGGTAACATATTTGACAGAAATGTTGGCCTTCAAGTAACTCGGCGCATCTTTGCATCTTTTATCCTTCTTGGTTTTACTGGGTAAGCTCTGTCGTTCACTAATTGACTTAAGTTTGTACTTTCTTGACATGTTTTAGAAATAAGATTTTGCTGCTTCTGTGGTCATGAGAATAATCAGATCATTTTTGGATATTCTTTGATCAGGATATTTGCAAATCAGCTTTTGTTTCTTCTCGGCCTAAGCTACACAAACCCAACTTATGCATCAGCTATTCAGCCTGCAATACCAGTCTTTACGTTCATCTTGGCTGCAGTACTGGGGTGATTTTCTTTGCAATAGTTTCCCTAATATCCACTTAACTTTCTACTTTCAGTATTGATTTAGATTGTCAATGGTTACAGCATTGAGACAATAAACTTGGTCACAAACGAAGGCCGCATGAAAATTCTTGGCACACTTGTTTGTGTTTCTGGTGCAATATTAATGGTCTTCTATCGAGGTCCAGCTATAATTGGATCCGGAGTTTATGATCTATCTGATCATGTTGCGGTAGGCATGAAGCCTCATCCTGAACCCATTGGTTGGTTAGCATCTGGTCTTCTTGGAGTTGGACTTGAGAAGTGGCATCTTGGTGTTTTGTGCTTGATAGGGAACTGTTTTTGCATGGCTGCTTATTTAGTTTTACAGGTATGTAAATGTGAACACCATAGCAATCCTCGTTACTGAAATCTAGACATTGTGTTTTAGCGTTTATTTATAACAAACACAATGCTAAAGTGTCAAGTATTTGATAGATCCTCCATAAATTAATATATGAAAAGTGTCTTGAAAGACACAGGTTTTAAGTTTTGCATCTGGTGATGGTTCTGTTAAACAGTATCTTGCTAATGATCTCCACCTCCTTTTCTTAGCATGCTCTAAATTAGCAAAGTTTCTCTGATACAATCTATTGAAAAAATATATAACCTTGAAACATGCGAGGAACATAAATGATAAAACTATAGCTACTATCACAGAGTAATTTCGGTGATTCTTTTTCCTGTGTTTCTTCTGTTTATGTTTGTTTTTTCATTACATATGGTAATTTTCTTGTTTGCTTATGAGATGTTAACTCTTTCAGGCCCCAGTGTTGATAAAATATCCTGCCAGTTTATCTCTGACAGCATACTCGTACTCTTTTGGGGCTCTGATGATGGTATTGACTGGAATATTTACCACAAGTGGCTCCAAAGAGTGGATTTTGACCATGCCAGAGATAGTTTCTGTGTTATATGCTGTAAGCCTCAGATTTGGATTCTTTCGTGTTAATATTTTACAAGCTCGGCCAATCAAATATATACTTTGCTCTACCTTTCATAAATTTCTCTATCTTGTACATCTACAACTGACATTATCTGCCCTTATTACTTCTATTTCATCTTTGAAGGTTTCATATGCTTGATAGAAATCTACTTAGTTTGATGCTGAGTCCGCACATAGTTTAGCAAATTCAATTAGAATATTTTTCCCTTTTGATATACTATTGTATATATCTTTTACATGTTCATAATCAGAAACACAAATCATTGAAATATGGGAAAGTTCTGTTTGTATCATTGGATTTCCTTAAAAGTGTCATATTGACAAATGTACAACCATACAAATTGCCTATGGATCTCCTGGCTATGGTTCCCCTCTTCCACTTGGATTGAAACTTCAAGATTAACTCATAATAAACTATTTCTAGACTGTACCTTTCTTTCTATCTTTCAGTGCATGGTCCCATGGAAAGATGCTGTGTCTTATCACTTGCTGTAAGAATGAAAATTTCATTAATTCTTATGGACAAACCGTTCATTTGTCAACTCTACATAAACCCGCACCAAACCTTCCCTTACTACTGTTGGCATACTACACATGTCTGTTCATTGGCCAAAACATGATATTGGTGATCCTTGATAAAGACAACAGCCTTTTTACATCATTTAGGAACTTGCATATGACTTTTAGTTTTTATATATAGTTGTTGCACATTTAATAAAGTTTTGTGTCTTGCCTCTTTTGTAGTTCAAACCACACAAAAAGCAACTATATATGATGATCTTCCGTCAGGACTTTGTTGTAGTTTTAGTCTTTTTGAAAGTTTAATTTACCAATCCTGTCTATCCCATTCCTCATGAACTTGATTCTAATTTCAAAATTGTTTTGTCCGAGGAAATTGTACATGCAAAGTATAATTACAAGAAAATGTAGTTAAATTGGATGGACAAAAAATCTTTTTAAGTAAAAGTTTTAGGTATTGAATCAATTATTTAACAAGATGGAGATATCGATAAAGATATTATTCATTGAGTAAAAATATGATGGTTAAAATGATGAGAGGTGTCAGGATTCTTGTATGATTATCGGATACCTTTGAGATTCAAAAGAAAATTTTGTAAGACAATTGTGAAACTAATAATGCTTTATGGATCTGAGTGTTAGGTAATTAGGTAAAAATATATCCAAAAAGTCTATGTTGTTGACATGAGAATGTTAAGATGAATGTGTGGAGTTATTAGGAAAGATATGAAAAGAAATATTTTAATTTGTGAACAAGTAAGTATCGCTTCGATAGATGATAAGATGAGAGAAAATTATTTAAGATGATATTGACGTGTGTTGAGGAGACCTCCAGATGTGATATTCAAAGGAAGTGAAATGATTAATGTTAATGGTACGAAGAGAGACAGAGGAAAACCTAAAAAAATTTTAATAGAAACCAAAAAGAAAGATTTAAGTGCTTTGAATTTAATTAAACATATGACTTCTTATAAATTTCAATGGCGACAAAAGATCCATGTGGTCGATCCCAAATAGTTGAGACTTACAACTTTGTTGTTGTTATTGTTATAACTTTAAACGACAATATGATGAATTGATGGTTGACTTTCTTTTTTAATGTGTGGCACTTTGTTCAAGGGAATCACAATTTTCATGGTTTTTGTGCATCAATTTTTGTCATAGTGCTTGATACCAGATATATCAACAACATTCAAAATATATTGCCTGCATAACTTATTACTGCAACAAATAAATTATTTTTTTTTTCAGGGAATTGTTGCATCTGCTATGAACTATGGGATAATGACATGGTCCAACAAGATTCTAGGGCCTTCAATGGTTTCTCTGTACAATCCACTTCAACCAGCCATGTCGACTTTATTGTCGACCATTTTCCTTGGAAGTGCGATTTATCTTGGAAGGTACTGCTCCACCTAGATTTTAATATGATTGTTTCCTAACTTTTCCTCTAATCTTCTTCTCAATTTTGCTTGTCAAAATTCAACAGTTCTATTGACATGCATGTGACTTGTTTAAAATTTGCCACTCAAAAAATGTCTTCTTTTATGCTATTTCTTATGATTGCTCGAGATCTCTGCATCTACTACACGCTGAAATATATTTGTACTTTCTTGATAAGTAAATCTGATATGATATTGTTCATTCATTTGTGTAAAGCAACATATCATGGTTGCTCAATGTATGTCAACTGCTATAGTATCGTTCTACCGAAACATCCTTGTAGAGGACTTTTTTCCCCCTTTTTTTTTTCAAAACTAAAGGTGGAGGGCCCACCTTTCCTGTTTACCACATGAAATATATATTGAACTTCTCTTGATAAGGAAATTCCATAATCGACCTCTCATCTTTTGTGGTAAACAGCATTGTAGGAGGGATTTTGATCATTGTTGGCTTATACCTAGTCACTTGGGCTCGCCACAAGGAGGCAAGATCATCCACATCGATCCCTTACGTAGACCATCATGCGCCTCTTCTCGAAGAAGATGAATCGCTTATGAAGAAGCAAGAGGCTTCCTCTAGCCATTCTGAGATTCCTTAGGCCGAGGATTGCCTCATGGATCACGATATGTTGCACTTCTTATCTCGCTGTATTATTTTTTCGTCGGATCATGCAGATAACAGTCACATCCGTATTCAAGATTCTTTCTGCACAAAAAAATTCTCGCTCGAGTGGGCAAAAAGGCTGTGGCTAGTCCTCATATTTCCAAGACCTATCGGTCATGTAACCTTTTCTCAGTTATGTTTTCATGAGAAGGGAACTACAATTACTGTCCTCAGAAGAATGTTTCAGCCAGTGAAGCTGAATGTGATCTATTGTGATTGTCATGTATACTATGTTTTTATGTGGAATAGCATTTGATATATGTGATCAGAGGATTATATTTAATGAAACATTGCTTTATGTTATTTGAGTTGTGATGGAGATGATTGCTTGTTAGACAGCAGCAACAGCAAAGGAGTTAATGTCTTGTTGTGCTGCTGAAATTGACACCATCTATGTTATTCATGCAGTTATATATTCTCAAGGATATACAGATGCTATGAAATCATGCTATTACTTGATATGTTGTCAATGATCAGATGATCTGACATCAGTGCTTCCAGTGACTTACATGTTCATAGGAGTAATTGCAGTCTCTTCTGGTGTGAGTATGGTTTGATGAACTCAGTGACAGTTGCAAGAAATTTGAACTGCTTACAGTGGATGGTGAGCAGAATTCTTTTGTTCTTCTTCTTTTTTCCTTCTCTCTTTTGGGGCTAATTCATCAAATTCATAATTTGTTGTCATTAACTCACTTTCTTTTCTCCATGGAATTGTTTTTTGGCTTCCAATTGGAGACCTCAAGATGTTCTCACAAACAATTCTAAGTAAGACAAATGTTCTCATAAACAATTCTATTCGAAACATGATTGTGCATGCTGAGTAAGACTTATCCTAATAATCATTCCTCGGCCTCTCAATTAAATATTGTGAACAGTCAACTTAACACTAATTGCTTCTACTCTGCCCAATGAAATCCATCACCAAATTTTATTTTGCTAGTTTTGCTGAGGTAGATTCTGAACTTGCATTTCAATATTAATTACACTAGTAATATTTTGAGATTGGATATCTCATTATCTATCTGTAATCATTTTTTTCCTTTAGTTAACAACTAATATTATACCTTGAGCATATAATACTTAACATGTTTGCTACTTTTAATAAAGAGAAGTCTCTACATCATCACTACCCATCCTCAAGATGCATGCAAGGGACATAGAACAAGGCTTTGTTGACATGAACCTATGCTGAGAATAATGGATGTTCATCAGGAGATCTTGAGGCACCATTGAGTCAGCTTTTGCTTGGCCCCAAACTGCACCAAATCATGAGGCACAAGGCATGGCATGGGCACTGCAAGCAACAAAAGAAGTGGCCTCTTTTAAGGTAAATGTTGATGCTAATCATGATTGTTGCCACTACAAGCTAAGTGCTTCATCTACACATTACCTAACAAAAGTTCCCAACTTTTTTAGGTAAGGATAAGGAACTCTTAAAGACAACAAGATGTCTGTCCACAGAATCAGAATAGAAAAATCCCTTCTTTATCTTTTTATGGATGGATTGTAAGTCTAGATTGATCATTTCAAACACAAAAGGCAACATGGTCTTTATCACCTACAAGTTGTAGGTAGTGCATGCATGACTTAGAAATCTATATCAAAGTAGGCCATGGAAAGCAAACCAGTTTGGTTCTTGTCATGTCATTGATCTTTTCTATCCCATCCCCCCCCTTCTTTTTTTTTTGCCTAAAGTAGTTTGATAGAGAAAATCAAAAGGCAAATGAGAAATTTAGGAACTTAAGATATGGATCAATTTTCATATCTTAAGAACGTAAGACACACTTGAGCAATTATGAGAACAATTGTTATGTAGGCAAAGAAAAATGAGCTCTTACATGCATCAACATAGAAGTAGCATCTCCAAGATGATTGAGAGACTAGTGGACCAATCCTAAATCATATATATTTTTTCTTCTTCTTCTTCTTCTAATATTTATGCATAAACTAGCTCTTTGGTTGATGTGATTTTCATAATTAGCTTTTGCATCATGTATTAGCCATGCTACATTAACAATTTTCTATTGAGTTTAAGCTACTTTATGAAATTTTGATGTGGATGTAAATTTGGTCACAAAAATTGCATTTAGAGTTATGTGCAATTTATGAATGTTAATTGTGACATTTATGAGTCCAATAATGGATGAGTAAGGTAAGTACATTTTGGACCCACTCTCCCTCCTTGTGTGTTGAAGATTTAAATCATTGATGGGTGAAGACATGGATGTCAAAGGAAATGATTTGTGTGGCAAATGGGATCTCAAAGATGAAGCCTTCCATTGCTCTTCCTTTCCTTGGTGGCCAGTGGGATACCCAACACATGTTTTCAATTGTGAATGAGGATGGACAAGTAAGGTTAATCTTTTTATCGAGAAATTGCAAAAGAAGTCTCAATTCTGATCATGTTAAGTCATACCATTGAAGATCACTAGTTGTTGTGAAAACTAAATAATATCATAATTATGTAATGATTTCTGTTCAATATATGTAATTTTATTATTATAAGTAAAGAAGATGCTTTGGAACTAATTAGTCAATGAAAAACACAGAGTTTCACATTTGTTTCTAAATAATTATTATGTTTATTGTAGTCCTTATTTTATCAAATCTTTTCTAACCATTTAAGGTCAAAACACTATTTGATATGACATAAGCAAACTTTCTCTCTTATATATAATATTATTTCATTACATCGAGTATATTCTGAATTGAATGTCGGAAAGATCTCATCGACCATATGCTATCGATATTAGTTTTATAGGAATCTTAGACAACATTAAAAATTTAGAGATTTTATCCATCTTTGCATATTTCAACTAACAATCAAAATTGATATTAACAATAATAGATTAGATGTTTTTTGAACATCCAAATCTATTCAATCCATTTATGTTAGGTTGAGACAGGTTAAAATGAAAGAAAAAAAAAAGGTGTTGGAATTGAATTTTCTTCAGATATCCATATCTGCTAAATCAGTGGAAATGTCATTCCTAATTATGACAGTGGAAACAGCTATTACTTGTAAGAACAAACCCTCAGTTGCTCTATGGTGTGGTGGGTAAGTCTCAGGAGAGAGATTTTTTTTTTTTTGTGTTTTGGCTGAAAGGGAAAAAAAAAAGAAAAAAGAAAAGAAATGTTAAAGGATGCAACAAAGTAGTCTCTTCTCCTCAAAAGTTTCCTGAGGAAAAGCACCTGAATTCCGGGAAGCTCTTGCTACAAAGCTTCCTTGTTCTTATACTACTCCTTTCAAGTCTCCCAGTCCAAGAAAAAGCATGGTTGTTCTGGCCTACATTATAATTGCCCAGTGTTGTTTGTTCATCATCATCACTTCTCCTTGAATTATGGATTTGATGCCAAGGTTTTGCTCCATGGATGGTCAGGTTGAGACCAAGATCTGGACAGGCACTTGGAATGGTCACAAATGCTCACCTTGTATCACTTTCTTTTGAGGAAAAAGTAAGTCATGAAAGCCCCCCAAGATCATCTTGTGTGTACTTTTAACTCTGTCTCCGTAATGATAGCCTGCCTGTTCACAACCATGTGCTAATAAAGTAGTTCCATTCAGGATTCCAAGTAGTAGTAGTAGTATATGAGGCCTGCACACAGCAAGATTTGCTGGTCAACCCTGAGCTGACAGATCCAGGTGGAGATTGCCAAATCTATTGGTTTGTAGTTCTCTGTTTCATCATGTCCGAGTCCATCTGAAACAAGTAAAGTTTGGATGAGTACGGACGATGGTATATCAGGTCCAAATCTATGCAGTATTTTTGATATGGTTTGATATCTTAGCAAGTGAAGAAGAAAATTCCAAGAACACTTGTCTTCCTTTGTTGGAGAATTCCTCTGAGGAGTAATCAACAGAGATGTCACTTCCTCCAATAAGTTCCTGCCACTGTTGGTGTCAGGAATGCATGTGATGGCTGCTGTACCAGGAGGGGGATCTAAAACAAATCTACCTTAGATTCACTCTTCTTTTTCTTAAGTATTGTTTGATTGGATTCAGCAACAAAGAAAAAAGAAAAAAAACCATTTTCTCTTACTTCCTGTCCTGCATGCAGGCTGATTCAGTGCGGTAAAACAGTAAAAATCTCCCATGTGGGTAACAGAGCTTGATGATTACTGTTTCACAGAGTGTTGCTGTAGAGAGAGAGAGGTGATTAAAAAGATGCAATGGCTCACTTGTCACTGAATGGATAGCCCTGTTTGACTTTGGAGTTTGGCCTTCCTTGGAGACGACAGCGGCGCAGGTGCGATGACTACTTCCCCTCCTCTCAGGGTTTCTGTCTCTTGGTTTCTTCCCCATCTGCTTTAGGTCCCATGAAATGCTTTTGTTTCTTGCTTGTCATGCTGTGCGGTGGTGCATGAAATCTTGATTCTTGGTTTCGATTGTCTTACACATGAAAAATCTGATCTTTTTGCATCTTTTCTTTTGGGGGGCTTGGATTCTTTATCTTGATCTCTGCTGACCGATATCGCATGCGATAGTTCTGCTTGGGCGATGGATTGGAATGCGAACGCTTCGCTGCTGTGGGATTGGGACAACCACGCGCCATTTGGTGGGAATTTCAAGCTGTCGGGCGGCGGCGGTGCTTCCTCTGGCTCTGAACTGGGGACTGGTTCCTCGTCCAAGAGCACCATCTCTGCGTCCGTTGATTCCTCGTCCAAAGCAGGAAAGGAACCTGAGTGGGTCACAAACCTGAAGAACCACGGCAAGAACCAACTTTTACCGGAGGCTGGTTCTTCCCTGGTTGCGGCGTCGGTGGCTGGATTGGAGGAGTCACAAATAGGGCTAAAGCTTGGTAAGAGAACCTACTTTGAGGATGTTTCTGCCGAGAGCAGCGTGAAGAACCCTTTGTCATCTTTGGATTCTCCGGCGGCATCGACTGCTCTGGTCAAGAAGCCGAGGGTGTCTCATCAAAGTGCACAGAGTAGCTGCTGCCAAGTTGAAGGTTGTAACATTGATCTTAGTGGAGCCAAGGATTATCACCGGAAGCACAGGGTCTGTGAAACCCATTCTAAATGCCCCAAGGTCACTGTCGCGGGCCAGGAGCGCCGGTTTTGTCAGCAGTGTAGCAGGTTACTTGAGATCGAACAATTTAGTGTATATTTCTAAGAAACAAAATCAAATTTATACAAGTTATTCTTGCTAATATTGCTTGCATCTGAATTTTTTTTTGGTACCATCCCAATCATTATGCAACAGTCATTCCTTATCTTGCATGCTCTGATTTGTTCATGTTTAAGGTTCCATGATTTGTCCGAGTTTGATCAGAGAAAGAGAAGCTGCCGTAGACGTTTATCCGATCATAATGCACGGCGTCGCAAGCCACGACCCAACATAATCTCCTTCAGTTCAACAACTTTTCCTCCGTTGCTTTATGGTACAAAAGAATTCTTTCTTTACTGACAGTTCTATTTCGAGTTTTGTTTTCTTTTTTTTGGTCACAATTCATGCTGTGTTGCTTTCAGACATTGTTTCTCACATGAAATGGAACTCTAGAAGGTGCTTTGTTCTTTTCTCTTTTCTTCAAGAAGACTTGCATTTCTTGATCGATGTGTATGCTTTTGTAGCAAGATCAACTTGTGACACTAAAATTACTGTGTTTCTTTTGTTTAACTAGTTTACTAAATTAGACCAGTGTTGATGGCAAAACATCTGCCTATATATATTTATATACTTTTTTTTATTCACCATCTTATTGCTTTGTAATTTTATGCATGCATTCTTAGTTCTTGGTAGGCCTAAAGTCAACATCAACTACTTGACTTGACTTTATAGTCTATGACCCTCTTTTATCTTCAGAAAAAAAATAAGACTGTTATTTTGTGTCTAAGATAGTTTATAGGTGTCAAATCTGGACAGTCAAATGACTGTAGTAAGGAAACTCCAAAGAATGATCTTCAACTGACTGCTCAGGCACATTAATTTGGATCATTATCAACTATATTTGCTTCCTGTTGCTTTGTGGTCTTTGTATTTGGGCTTTTCTTGTGCTGTGACCCAAATTTATAATGCTACAGAAGAAATTGCATGGTCACACTCATCAAGAAGTGATTGCTTTATAACCTACCGGATTTACAAAATTATAAACTTGTGGAAATACGTCTGGCACTACCGTTATTCTCTAACAACAGATAAAGCATTCTGGTATATTTTGTGTTTGAACGTTCTAGTTTGAGATACGAAAGATCTTAGTCACTGGATGGTTTAAGAGCCATTATCACTGGGAAACCTATGCTGATGACAGCCCAGAGGTTTAATGAGAGCATCTGATCCTTCACTTCACTTTCTAGGTTGATCTTAGAGTTTTGATATAATCATTGACAACACTTGGTTGTACATCCTCGATATTAGCTCTTCTAAAATAGTAAGAACAATTCGATGACAACTTATTAAGACGGTGATCAAAGTAGAAGTGTAACTTTGCGGATTAGTTCCCATTGTGCCATTATACTAATGGTGATTGAGTGCTAAATAGTTTGTTTGTTCAATCTTTTGATTGCATGGGGTACTTGTATCTGACCAACCGATTTTATCTTCTGTGCACTTCTCCTACTGTTTGTTAACAAGATACTTAATGTTTACATGAAATGACATTTCTGTCGCACTGCAGTTCTCATTGATGAAAGTTACATGGCTTTTGCAGATAATAAGCATCAGATGAACTACTTGTGGAATAACGCTCCTTTTGGTCACATGAAACCCATGGCAAGCAGCAAAAGTGAAGGCTCTCAAACTTTCAAGCTCACACAAATTAAAGCGCCATGGATGAAATCAACAAAAGAAGTCAGCATTGATGGCCAGCTGCATTTGCCAAACACTCAGCTATCAAATGGCTTCCCCGCACTTTATCATGATGTTGACAAGCTCTTGCCACTGAAAGGCACTGCCACCGAAGTTCTAAATCAAGGTAAGTGAAGTCTTGATGCAAGTTGCTAGTTTCAATGATCTCATTCATGCGCTACTTATGTCCAGTGTTCTATGGAGATTCCTCTACGTTCTGGATTGTTCTCCTCACAATTGAAACTCATATTTGCCAGATATGGTTGCAGAGAAGTTATCTGATGAAAACATATATAATTGTAGAAGCAGTACTTTACATATCAGTCTTTGTTCTCTGATTTAACTTTCTTTCTCATATTATATAGACATCTAATGTCTTAAGAACACTGTCAAGCTTGACATACTTTTACAGCACTTCGAGGCATTTTACATTATAACCCTTTGCCTCTGAAGCGAAGTTCAACAACAAAAATATCATGAAAAAGTTTTTTTTTTTTAAGCTTAAGATCTTCAACCTTGGGCATGTTTTGATTTAGTAGAGTCTCAAGCTATATGTTTAAAGCAAGTAAAAGCCAATATTTGTTGCTAGGATCTCATGGTTTATTTCTAAAGCAAGTAGACTCCAAGATTGTTGATTGCTGTTTGTTTTGATTTGGTTGTATCCAAGTGACTTGTTCTGCATTAGTTCGGTTGTTTCTGATAAAGCTGACCATGTTTTATTAGGTAGTTGATCCTATTTCCTTCTCGATTAAGCAAAATATGGCATGTTTTGCCTCACTCTTATTCATGTTTTGTCTACTTGATTGTTCTGCATGATTGTTAATTTTCTAAGCATTGCAAACTCGTGGTCTTTTATGTTATCTAACTAAACCGAGAAGGTATTAAACCACTGTAGAAGGCCAATGCCTATTGATAAAACACCACAAAAACCATAACAAGCCTGTCAATGTCTAGATTAAATAGTCATTTTTGTTGGTTTAATTTGTTGAACGGTTAACTTCTTATTGATTTTTTGTCTACATCTATCTGAGGAGACTGCTAAAAAGGAAAATACAAGAGCCTCAAGGAAATACAAACAGATTCTCCCAGAAATGGGCATCAATGGAAGTCTAAATTTCTTACCCAAAAGCCTGTACAGACCCCTAAATAAAGCTTCAAGATGTGATGCATTCCACCGCAAAGTATACTCTGGCCGAGTTACCAAATAGCCATTATAGGCTATATCAACAGCTTGCAATTAATCTTAACAGGTTTTGGTGGTCAAAAAAAAAAACCTCAAAACAAAATCAAAGTTTGGTGGTCTGCACCCCTCACAAAGCATTGTGTTGCTTACCAAGATTGACCACTAAAGCTTATGGTCTAGTTCATTTTAGCACACGTGATTAATGGAACCTAGACAAACTGCAAAAAAAAAAAAATACGCCAAAGGAATTTTCAAAGCATAAGCTTCAGATGGCTTTTCTGTCATCATTATAAATTCACCTGTCACAATAACTTTAAACTGATTCGACATCCATTGTGCAATATCAAGGTAGCTTCATCATATAAACCTAAACTCGTCTCTAAGTGAAGTCAATAGAAAATTTGGTCAATGTTATGTTATCGGTTACTCAGAAAGCATCTATTGGGAATGTCTTCAATCTCTTTTTTTGTTTTTGTTATATATCCTAGAGACAGAACAGTCACATTTTGGTACTTTCAGTGCACTATACGGATTGTGAGCCCATCTTAGTTAGCATTTACATTATAGCTGGACTTAATATTGTCCTTTTTTTAGTTCTGTAGATTGTTATCTTTTAAGATACTTCATGCATATATCTGATTGAGAATTTGACTTTTGCCACCAATTATGCCAGTAATCTTTCCAAATGTAATAATCATAGTTGCTAGCGTGTGGCACTACTTCACCAGTTTATACTATATATACCAGTGGCATCTGGAGTAGATTTTCTTGATAAATTATTAATTTTCTTTTCTTAAATGAGCATACACCTGAAAACTTTTTAGCACTGTTTCACGAGTTTGTTTTCAGAAAGAAATGGCATCAGGACTAGGGTATCAAATATCCAGGTGTCCGAAAAGGACTCAGCCCAGGAACCTTCAAAGTGACATGGGAACACACCTAGCTCATGTGGTTCCATATGCAACCCCATTTGCCATATAGGTACCCTAAGCTTGTCAGATGACTGTCTCATAATTAATTTAAGTTGATAGAAGGTATGGATATTGTGATTTGAGATTTGATGGCCTATGCAATAACAAGAGTTTTAAGTTCTGGATATAATGGTAATGGTTATGGGATCAGAACTTATTGTAGATCAACAGCATCGAGGTACTTGAATTTTTCCGAAAGATTCCGACAGTCGGCATGTAGCGTCATGGGTAAGAACTTAAAAATCCAATCATCCGGGTAATACTGGTCCTATATCTTACACAAGTGTTGCTGCTGCTGCCATGATCTTCGTTCAGGCAGCTGCCATCTATTTTCATCAAAGCTTGTGCTTCTGGCTGCAACCGAGACATTGTCTTTCTGTAAACCGACAAACAATTTCCTTCTAAATCCTTCATTTAGAACACAGTTATCCTTCATGGTACAAACCTTCCAGATTGGTTTTGCTAATACACGCCTCTTCTCTCTTTACAGGTTCAGAGGCATCTGCAGGAGCTTCGAACTTGGACAGAGCACCGGATCTTCGGCGTGCTCTCTCTCTTCTGTCAACCAGTTCTTGGGCTTCTCCTGACCCCAGACAAACGCCCCCCGTCACTGAGTTCGTGGATGCTAACTCCTCAAATCACTGGATCTACGGGCAGCCTCTAGCTCAACAAGCCCAACTGCTTCCATTTATCATGCGCAGATATGACAACCAGCCCCAGGAGTTCCAGCTGCAAAAAATCCCATACCGGGATGCTATATTCGATCCTAGTCAGATATATTGACCTCGAGAAGTCAATCGACTGATACTTGGAATTTAGATCGATGGTTGGTCTTCTGTTCTTGACTTGTACTCTTGCCAAGACACAGCAGTTTCTTTTAACTTTCGTCTCAAGCTGCTGCTGCTGCATGGTTGTGAAGGACAGCTATATGTGGTGTTCTCATTTGTTAGGTGTTGGTGGATCCAAGGACATGATCTGTATAATGTTCACTAGACTATGAACTCTTGTGCCTTGTGATGTACTTTCTCTCACATTTGTTATGGTACTCTTCATTTAGCAAGAATTCCTTGCAATATATCTTTGCATCAATCTTGGTGATACTGATTCCAACTTTTGCTCATGGATGAAGATAGTATATTTGTTCCACTTGAATTTGAACTGCCACAGTTCCTGAATAGTACATTGACACTGCTTTCTTTGACAGATGAGGATTGGTACATGTTATGCAAATTACACAAAGTCAACATCATCTATATAGGGTCAAACATGTGTCATTGTGACATCAAAAGATCTCCTGTGGACATGGTTGTGTTTGAGATCAAAACCTCAACAGAACCTAACCTTAATGGAGTGAAACTATTCTAACCTTAATAAACCCAAGTAGTCTCAAATCCAATCTGATTAGATTCACAAGTCATCAACTTGGCAGTCCTTATTGTTTTAACTCTTTTTTTATTAACAAAATATTATTATTATTTTTTCTCTTTGTAGAGATTCCAATTAAAGTTTGACCACAATGATGAGCCACACATGGCCCACTCACAACATAGAACCAACTCAATCTCCACCACCTTCCCATGGTGCCCCCCCCTTTTTTTGTTGTGCCCTTTCCAAGTGGGTCCCACCACAACCTATATCCAAAATGGCCCCCACCATCTTTTGGATCCCTCTTTGCCCTTCTGTTGGTGTTGGGGTCCATCATCCCTCTCAAGAACTCCCATCAAGCCTCCTATTTGAGCCACCATGTTTGAGATGAGTAGATCTCAGTCATTATGTTATTGGTTCTTCCCCAAAAGCTCCACTACACACCTCCCTCTCTAACACTCACCTTTTTGCCTCCACAGCCCTCCCTGCCTTTATATATATATACATATATATATATAATTCAATTATTTCAATAAATATCCTACATTAATTCGTAGGAGATTCATTGCTAATCCTAATTACTAGAATATCAAAATACTTAAAATAACTTTTAATGTTCTCGTAATAACAATAATAGTTATACCTGAGGATATTAATATCAAAAAGAGTTTTCTTTTTCTAAAGGTTAGGAAGTGAAATATGAGATCTAATATGATGATCATGTTGTTACTAACTAAGCTTTGTAGTATCTTCAAATTCATCACATTCGAAGGAATATATATAATATTCAAATTAACATTATGATCATGTTATTATTGACT